CCCGGCCCCCCCCCCCCCGCTCTTCAGCGAGTACATCAGCGAGAACGCCGTGACCTGGTCCAGCTCGAAGGCATGCCTGCTTGCAGGGACAGCGGGTGTTTGCTTCAGCCTCATCTTGATGGGGACAGTCTCCGCTCCGGCTTCCGAGCCATGCACGTGGCGGAGCGATAGCATCGCTGCCGAGGTATACGCAGGGGCCGAGCGTGCATGTGGCCTGTGCACACGCCAACTTGCCTGCACATCCAAGCGAGATCGAGAGGTCATGCGGCCTCGTGGGACAGCTGCCCGTTCGGCTATGTATCGCCGTTGCTTGCTAAAGAGTTGGCCGATTGTGTTGGCCGATGAGCGGGCAAACCATAGGTCTTAGATAGCGTCTGCCTGCCCACATCAGAGCAGCGCATGACGCCAATCTCCCCCGCACTTCTGAATCAGCATCCCCCTTCATCGAGCAGAGGCGGCAAAGAGCGCTCTCGCATGACACTCGGTGTTGCACGCGCCGCATTCTAGCTCATAGCTACTACGTGTAGCTCTGTACCACCACCAGCTCCATACCTTGGCACCATCCACAGACCACAAAGGAGCGTTCACACCACCTAAGGGACGCAAGACCGATAATTGCACCGTTACAACCTTCAAGAATCACTGGCAGCCAGCTCAGAGGCAAGACGGCATGGCTGGCATCGAGCAACAGGGCTTCACAGCCTCGCAGCCGCGCTTCCAGCCGCAGGCCCTGCGCAAAGTCCTCATCGCCAACCGTGGTGAGATTGCGCTCCGTCTGGTAAGTACGCAAGATCACAATCATGGACACAAGCGGACACGGGCTGATCGTTCTCGTACCTTTGCGTCTGCAGATCCGGACGTGCAAGGCGCTGGGCCTGGCGACCGTCTCGGTGCACACGCACGACGATGCCGCTGCGCCGCACGCGAGTGCTGCCGATGAGACGTTCCTGCTCGAAGGCAAAGAGTCTGACGGCAAGGGCTACCTCGACCAGGCCGCGATGATCGACATCTGCAAGCGCACCGGCGCCAACTGCATCCTGCCCGGCTACGGCTTCGTGTCAGAGAACCCAGGTTTCGCAAAGCTCGTCGAGTCCACGCCGGGACTCATCTTTGCCGGTCCGCGCAGCGAGACGATCAACTCGTTCGGCCTCAAGCACCAGGCGCGTGCGCTGGCCGAAGGCGCCGGTGTCCCCTGCGTGCCTGGTACCGGCCTGCTCAACAGCGCCGACGAAGCACTGCAGGCGGCAGAGAAGATCACCTACCCCGTCATCCTCAAGAGCACCGCAGGCGGCGGTGGACTCGGTCTTCAGGTGTGTCGCAGCGCCGACGAGCTCAAAGGCGCGTTCGACAAGATCACCTCGCGCGGCAAGGCGCTCTTCGGCGATGCTTCGGTCTTCCTCGAAAAGTACGTCGAGAAGGGAAGGCATGTCGAGGTGCAGGTGTTTGGCAATGGTCAAGGCCAGGCGATCCACTTTGGCGAGCGAGAGTGCAGCATCCAGCGCCGTCACCAAAAGGTGATCGAGGAATGCCCGTCGCCGTTTGTGCACAAGACGGCGGGGCTGCGCGAAAAGGTGACGTCGTGTGCGGTCGCGCTCGCCGAGTCTGCCAAGTACCGCAGTGCCGGCACCGTCGAGATGCTAGTCGACGACGACACGGCCAGCTTCTACTTTCTCGAGGTCAACGCGAGGCTTCAGGTGGAGCATTGTGTTACGGAGCTGTGCTACGACGTTGACCTCGTCGCACTCATGCTCCTCCAGGCCGACACGGAGCTTGCGGGCCAAGGCGGTATCCCAGCCGAGACGCTGCGCTCGCTCCAGAAGGAGGGGCCCAAGGGCGCGGCGATCGAGGCGCGTCTGTATGCCGAGAACCCGATCCGCGACTATGCCCCTACGCCCGG